GAAAGATGTAAATATTTGAAGTTAATAAAAAAATGATGATTCAATAACGCATGTAATGCAACAATTTAAGATACATATTTTTTATTCGGAGTTCCTTATTTATTCGTTTTACGTCTACAAATTTTATGACTCGAACGCCAATCAATCTGTTTCAAATAATCCTACCGTTTTGTAAATAAAATATTCGTAGCGACTGCTTAGGAATTGATTTACTTTGAGAAAATCGAAAATCCGGAATGTTTTCTCGAGACGAACTACGCGAGATACATTGTCGTAATGTTGCAGCAATGGGAACAACGTTAAAGCGGTCGACTCGAGAGAAAAAATGACATTCTTATCGCCAATCCCGAAGGCTGTTGAACGGACATCGAGTATATCAGGGTCGTGTCAAACGATTCGTTCTTCCTCTTCGAGGAATGGTGCAAACACACCTACGGACTTATTCGGAATGTATCCATCCGCCCAAAGTACGCCGATGTTGGCGCACAACACCACGACGATGAACCGTGCCAACGTATCCGGAGGGAACAAGAGAAGCGAGCGTGTGGAAAGCTCTGGAAGTGTCTTACTGGCGAAACAACTGGTGGACGGGAAGACGTTGGAGAATGTTCGTCGACAACCTGACAGGCAGGATTTGTGTTTCGTATGCAGCGGCCTGTCGGCCGCCCAGATCGCCACCGTGAAGGAATTTGCGGCGAAGTACAACGCGAGCTACGTGAACCAGTTCGATCGCAACGTGACGCATGTTGTCGTGAAGACTACCGGCGAGCAAAACGCGGCGAGGAGCACGCTGAAGTATCTTCAGGGTATCGCCCACCGAAAGTGGATAGTCAGCTACAGATGGATCGAGGACTGCACGAGGCAGCAGAAGCTGCTGAACGAGGTTGCTTACGAGGCCACGACGTACAATGATAGCGTTTACGGTGCCGGCCCTCGAAACTCGAGGCTACGCGACAAGGGTCTCTTTGAGGGTTTCACGTTTCTCTGTGTCGGACCGTACGACAACGTTTCGCTGGAACAGTATCAGGTCAGTCTTCGAATTGTCTATAGTTTCCACGGTCGGTGACGAGAGACGTCACGAGCGGGGTTTCGCGCCCTAGAATCTCCGGACATCGATTTTTCTCTTTAGGCGCTGTTAATTTTCGCTCGAAAACAGAATTTCTTCAATCGTAATTAAAACCGATTCGTTGTACATGTCATTGGATCGGAAGGATTTTTATTTATCGTTCCTGCGCGTTCGGTAATCGCCGCGCTATTTAAAGTTGGACCCGGGCCAAACCCATGTAAGAATATCTTTGATTTTTAGGATTTGTTACTCGCCATCGGAGCCACGGTAGTCGATTCGTTTGAAATTCTCGCAAAAATGGGAGGAATGAAGGGCATTGTGATCCAAGACAATGTTCATGACAATAAAGTAATTGGTAAGATACCGCAAAAATAAGAACATATATGCACTGCGCCATATATGCACAATTCCTACTTGTAGAAATATTTTTAAAAAATGTACAAATATCAACATGTGCATCATGATTTTGGATCTTTTAATAAGATATTCTGTGTTCTGGTTTTTCTTTTTTTGCTAGAACATTGGTATCGAACCACGAAGGCGGCGCCGATTCTGGTGGATTGGATAGTAGAATGTATTGGACACTACAGATTATTTAAGCTTACGTCTTACATCAATTATATATCGCCGCAAGATTTTTGTGCTATCGGTTATCCACGTGAACTTGTAGAAGAAGAAGAAGAAGAAGAGTACAGCGATGATGAATAAAAAGAAGAAAGAAGATATATTGTTCGAATTTATTTTTGTTAATATTTAATCCGTACCATCATTTGTAAAGAATTACAATAGTGTAGTCTCATATAACAGAAAAGAACAAAGATACTTCTTATAGTTTTCAATCTCAATCTGTTGATTAAAACGAACGAGCTTACCGTTCATGGGTCGCTAAGCATACACTTGATGGCGATCCACTACCGTGTTAATTATCTGTACATGAAAATTTAATTTACCTTTATCAATGTATCTATGTGATATTAACTTTACATACAATTTTATTATTGTTTCCAATTTTATATATGCAATATAAATAAATGTAAAGTAAATTTAAGTAAATGTTATCAAATCTATCTGGTAATTTGTTTATACTTTTCTAATAAAAATATTTGTTTCTTCTCAAAGATACGTTTCTTTTCTCATTTCTGTACAACTATCACACGTTCGCTCGAGATCTTCGTCTTATTCGCTATCCCGCTGCGAGATCGCTTTCCAAAGACTTCTCCCCGTTCAGAGATCCATCTTACGTAGCATTCCAATTTTAGTCTCGTGAGACCGCGATAAATACCGGTCGCAAAGTACCATCTCGAGATATCTAACGCACGTCTCACCGATGAAAGAGAGTAGAAAGAGAGCACCGGGAGATCCATTGCGGACGTAAGGACAAGTCTTTTCGCGATACGACAATGCCTGAGTCGCTGAGATCGTAAAGCTCGCCTGTCGTGGGGAGGGAAACGTCGAGGGTATATTCATACATTCACCCGAACACACGTACTCATATTGATTTGCCCGGGACCACCTGTAGCCAACTCTCATCCGCTCGCGCGCAGCACCGCACAGCATTTTATGAATCCCGCCCAACCGCACGCAGGCGAAACAAACGCCGCGCATTCTATACGCGAGAAATACGCGCTCTATATTCAACGCGATACTTCAACATTAATATCGCTGCGGTATACAAAATACAAAGCGCGAGACAAAGTTTACGTAAGGAGAGAGTTCGCGTACCTTAAAAGCACGCCCAGATGTTCCGCCCAGACGTTCGCTATGAGCTATCGCTATGATACCTAATCGGCTGTGCCCGCCCCGAATAATATCTCGAACGTGCATTGCAAATTGATGAAAATATATTCGATGTGTTTGCCGCCAACAGTGGATGACTCCGATTTATGAATTATGCAGGCGAATTTAACAATTCGCATTCGCGACGGGAACGCTTTGTGTATGAGCCGCCGGTGAATTTTGATTTCGAGCAAGTTACTCAGGCTTTACCCGCGTCCCTTTGCGTAAAATAGGGAGATTCGATTATGCCTCTTCCCTTATATCGTAGTCACGTTCGCTCGGGACTGTCGAAGTTCACCATTGTGCATTGGTGCTCTACTGTACTCGTGTTCTCGCGAATCGCTCTCCATTGAACGGAGTATTGAAGGATTTCATTGTGTTTTCACGCGACATCACTCGCCTGCGTGTACGGGCGGCATTTGTGTCGTCTGCAGGCAACAAAATAGCGAAACATTATCGCCTTCGAGCGATTCCTTCATTAAATCGAAATCACGGCGCGAACACTAACGAGAAAGATATAAGTGTCTCTTTGGGCATTAACGAGGAAGAAATATAAGCTTCTTCAAAGACGCAAACGAGAAAAATATAAGTTTTTTTTCATCATACCTAGCAGAAAAAAATACGGTGGTGTTAAAGTATATCTAAAAATTTAGCTAAAAATGCAAGACTAATTTTCTCGATAATTATTTCATCAACATTTTGAAATAATTATTAAAAATTTTGAATGTAATAACTAACTTTCACATCTGGCCAATTTTTAGATATAGCAAAACATTGTTCTTTCCGTACACATTGACAATATCGCCCCCTTTCTACATCGAAACTCGATGGGTGTAATTACACACATGTAATTACACACATCGTGCGGTAATTAAAAAAGAAATTTTACCTTTCATGAATATACGGTAAACAATCGAATAAATCAGCACGCCTGTCTATACTTGTAGATAAACCTGAACGGTAATCAGGCGCGTGTTAATTACACGGGATCATTAATAATCAACCCTCGACCTCGTCGGCCGTAATAACGCTCATCAAACATGCTCGTATCATCAAACATCCTGCGTTTATCCCGGGATCTTCGCGTTATATCGTATCATCGTGCAATAATAATATTCGTACGGCATTTCGTTGCGGTACGTTACGTAAGCGCGTAGGCAATGGCCATGCGCTTATGAATCTCCGCTTAATCACTCCGAAGCGTAACAAAGTTCCGCGCTATCTCCGCGACTGTCGGAGGAGGGTTCCATTTGGATACGCCACGTTAATTGCACCGCGCGATTTCGTCTAAATACATTTGATCTGACAAAACGCGCGCGTTCGAGCGTGCAAATGTTCGTTCTCCGACCATCAAGAAGTCTGAAAATCACGAAGATTTTCAGAAAATTTATTTTTCAACGATAGACAAATAATATACGAATTTTTATGAAAATAATTTTAATCCATGTCTATTTTAAACATGTCTATGTAAGCGCATCCTTTCTCTTACTTTGTTACGATAACAAAATGACGACCGTAAGGTTAAAACGGTTAAAATGGGTTAATGCACGTACATAATAAGCGAACCATCAACGTCCCGTTGACCTATGCCTTATACGTTATTCAAGACAATACCATTCACTGCTTAATATCACCAAATTGTGTGGATAAGTTACAATTTAAGAAAAGTACGGCAATAACCTTCTATTATTTCGATGAATTATTGTGCAGATCACTATTTCCCTGAGATAGCTCGACTTTAAGTAAAGAGATCACAAATCACGGGCCGCATCTTATGCAACATTTTTTGTTTCTTTTTATGTTGTACTACGAAACACATGATAATACTTGTGGGAAGCAGAACTACACAGAATATTCATCGATCGCATTTTACGAAGCGCAATGTATCATAGAATTTCAAAACTAACAATAGAAACGAGGTTGCCACGAGTTTAGATTTTTTTCATTCGGCTGAGAATCATCTGTATCAATATTTTGCGTTTTTATTCAATCGTCGGTATTAAATTGAATTTTAATTAATTTAAGTTAGCGTGTGTAATATTTTTTTTTCAGTTTTATAAACTGGAGTTAATTGAATTCTCTTTAAATTCTGTAGAATTTTATACTTTTGCTTTTATGCTTTTGTAACTTTTTTTTTTAATTACACGACGATTTCCGAGTACACTGCAATAATGAAAATGGGAAAAACCTATTGTATTGCTATTTTACCTAAAAATTTAATTAGGAAAAGATTTTTGTTTTTCTACCTGAAATTTATTCTTGAGTTTTTGTCAAAAATATTTCTCTTTTATTAAAATTTTCTTTATAACAGCACGTTCCAAAGTAATTGACATAACTTAAAAATTTTAGAGTGTAAAAGTTGTGTTCCATATTGATTCGTCGACAGCAGAGTCTAAACTACAAATTGGAATGTAAAACGTAATACATATGACATTAAACGCTTATTCTTTTAAACGTTTCCCATTATATTTGAACTTATTTGCTCTAATAACAGTTAAAAGATCAATACATCTGCATTGGAAAGTATCCAATAAACGGTGCAACTTGATAAATAATTTAACGATGCCAAAACGATCAATATATTGGAGAATTCCAAGAGTTGTGAATTAACATAAATTAACGAGCTTATTTAATCTGACAGATAAAGCGATCATTGTTTGATCGTTAACGTTCTTAGATGTTTTACTTACTTTTCTAAAGACCGAGCATGACTGAGCTTTAATGCTCGACGGTATGTGTCGTTTCAGATCTTACTCTTCGGAGATATGAATGATACGATAGACTATCGTAGAAATACGGATAAACGATACCGATAAACGATAAATAACAAATGGCACCACTAAGGCTATCATCTCGCGCGGGCAATTTCACGGAACATCGTGCATGTCCTGTGCGGACAATAATGGATCGCCACTGAAATATCATGCGGCGCGAACCAATACCCTTTATGAGCAATCTCACTGAAAAACTGTCGCTTTTTATCCGCGGCCAACCTTACGGTTACGCAGTTGACAGAATCGAAGAACGGAGCAACGGCCGATTCGCCCCTTCCGTCCGATCGTCGTCACATCGTTTTCTTTAATTGGCAATAACGCAAAAATCGCAGGCGTCAGCGTCACAATGGACAGTGGAAACAAAAGCACGTGGAATGCCGTGGAAGATAGCGAAGAATTTCTAAAGGCAGATTTCCACGTTTCGCTCGCTTTAGTCCTCTCGTCATGTGTCCAACGCTTATCTCGACAGGAAATTACACATCCCGAGCAATTAACGTCTAGCCGATGTTACAGAAAGGGAACCAAACAGCGCGAAGTAATTAATATCTTAATGTAGATCATTTCGCGAGAGTCATGCTTTCATTTGGGAAAAATGCAATCCACTTAAATTCCCGCCTATGAAAATTGCGACTATTTTTAATAAAAAGAAAATAAAAGAAAATATTTCCATTTTTTTTTTTTAATTAACGTTGATCTTTAGATCGGTATCTTCTAAATTGAAAAATTTTAATCGTTTCATTTTTCCCTGTTAACGATTAAAAAAGATATCTTTATGTTAGAAATGATAAGACATAAAACAAATGTGAATATATCTAAAATTAATTATCGATTTTATGATAACTTTGGAACATATACTTCTCACCAATTAAAATTATCGTAACCTTATCTTCTGTCGAATAAGATACTACTACAGTTCAATAAACTGTATTCCCTTAATTGACTATTCTCTTAATGAATATACAATAGTGTAACTTGAGATCAACGATAGTTCTAAAGAGAAAGACCTTTTACGGGAACTTTTTACGATAAGTAATACAACTTTCACATTGTAAGGTAGAACGAAATTAAGAAATGCTATATTTGGAGACTATCATCGTTAAAAATCAGAGAAACAGAGAGAGAGAGAGAGAGAGAGAGGGGGGGGGGAGAGATAGTCACGGAAATCCGAGATACTTTCAAGTACGAAATTATTTTAGTAATTCAGTAATCAAATTAAAACCAAGTAAGAGATCGTTTCAATAAGGGATAATAAATGGATTTGACTTCCAAACGGAGTCCCGTTTCTTTGACGAACGGAAAAGACAAAGGCTGCAAACAACGGGGGATTTGAGTGCGTATGCCTGGGACCTTTGGGATGCATCCGATGGAGAAAGATTGGAGCACCGTCCCCGGTATTCTCAGCCCCTGTCTGCCGGCCAATTAACAATGGCAAGTGCCGA